TATATATATATTAAGGTATACTGACATACGCATATGCACAGAAGCACGCACACATGTACACACACACACACGGCGAGCATGACTGCACATGTAACGGCCGGAAACAATAATAATAAAACAAAACAATCATGAGCTTTTAACGGCACTGAGAAAGGCTCCTGCATATTATCCTTGGCTCCGCAATGCTACTTATCCCTACGCGCTTCCATGTTTAACCTTGTTTGTAAGGGCTGTCTTTTCTGCGTGCAGCATACGAATAGCCTTATCCGCCTTCGACTGGTACACAATGAGTTCCATCCTTTCCTGGTTGAGTGCGCGTATCTGCTGAAACGCCTTGTCCAGCTGCTCCTGTAGATAGGTATCGCCATGGGCCATGGTTAGTTGCCCGCTCTCGGAGTCCATATTCATTCTGGGGCTGCTCAACATGCGAGGGGAGGTGCTCTCGCCGACGCCACTTTGAAAGCTGATAAAATCTGTCCCCTTCACCTTGGCGAGCTCCATACCAAGTTCATCAAGTCTCTGCGTCCACCGTTTGGACTCCATCTGATAGCGCAGCATCGTTGCTCTCAGCTTCTCCGCCAGGCGGAACACAGTGCGTTTCTCTTCCGCAAGTAGAATAGCCAACTTGTACCGCTCCTCGCTGATCACCCGTATGTTCGCGTCGCGCTCGCCCAGTGTATCCCTCAGCTGCTTGCTCATGACCTGCCAGCCAGGAGCTTCGGCGCCGGGGGCCAAAGCACCGCCACCGCGGAGTTGCGCGTTCTCCTGCCGCAGCAAGTCGTTCTCAGAGGTGAGAAGCCTCACACGGTCTTCTAGTGCGTGTATGCGTCCCTCGTACACTTCCCGCTCCTCTGACAGGGCATCCTCCAATGTGCCGTCGTTCTTGGAGTCAAGCTCAGCCAAAAGCTGCAGGTATAGTGCTTTGTAGTCGAGCACCTCGTGACGCTTCGCCTCCTGCTTGATTTGAATGGCACGCTGACCAAAATGGATGGCGCTCAGCGACTCCTCCGTGGAGTCATCCGCGGGGCTGCAGTTCACCACGATGGAGGTATTACCGTTACCCAGCAGTGAGTACTGCAGGATTCGAGTCAGCTTGGACTCACGGAACGGCGCGTATTGCGAGCTCTTCTCTGTCAGTGCCGCAACAACCTTGCCGAGAACAAGGAGACTCCCGTTGATGTGCGTCGCCTCGTCTAGTGTCTTGCCCTCCGCGTGCGTCCTGCTGACGCGTTCACTGCCAGCCAGGTCGCAGACGACAAGACGGCCCTCCAGCGCGATGGTTGGCGCCCCGGTAGCCTCGCCGTCCTTCACCTCCACCGCCTTCACTTTGGTGGCACGCGTGATGTTGAAGCTGAATATTGTGTGGGAGCGCGAGCTAGTGTTGTTCATTACGGTGCTCGTCATCTCCTTGCGCTTCATGCCAACGCGGAAGAGCTCCATTGATTCCTCGTAGTTCTCCACACGCTTTTCAATTGGAAGCCCCGATGCCTCGGCAACGAGCACAACATCGCCACGTCCCTCTGGGCCGAGTTGGATGCGCACGCGGCCCTTCTGTGCGTCCAGCAGGTCCGTCAGGATCTCATTGTACAGCTGCACGTAGCTCACGCTACAGGTGTAGTCATGCTCGGTGTCGTTGTGGATGCGCTGCCACACCTCGTGCAGGCTCTGCTGCAGCATACCGAGGTTCTGCGGGTCCTCATTGCTGATGGTGTACGTCTTACCGGAGCCCGTCTGACCGTACACGAACAGCACGCCGTGCTGGCCGTCGAAGGCGGCCTCCACCGCGCCGCGGGCGAACTTCGCATACACCTCATCCTGGCTTGTCTTTGGGGGAAAGACTCTGTTGAAGCTGTATGACTTTGTAAGCGCCTTGGAGCCACCCTTACGCGTGACGGTGATTTTGCACGGGTCCTGTGGGTCGCAGACTATGTTATTGAATGTGCTCTTCGCCTCGCGTGGAACGGCGGGGCGCACACGAAGAAACACCGAGATGTTCTTTGGTGCCGCATTCCCGCCCGCATTCTTCTTCATTTTGCGCTGTTGTTGTTGTTGTTGTTGGTGTTGCTGCTGCTGTTGGTATTGGGTTGTTTCCTTGAGTGCGCTTCGCGTTGGTCTTTTTTGTTGTAATCACGCCCACGGCGGATACACGTCAAGCAATATTCCTTCTCTCGTCTCTTTCTCTTTACTTCCCTTTGCCGCGGTATACCTTCCTTGCTCCAGAAACAACGCGTGGGAAGCACATCACGAGTACAACGAAGGGTGGCAACAGCACAGTGGTGCGCTCGTGGGCGGCACGGTTTCGCCCCCACATACAGAGTGTGCGGGGTGCAGTGACAAGAAAAGAGGCAGCAATACCGTTCCGCCCTAGACTGATGCTTCTACCGACGAAATTCTTACAGTTTCTTTCTTTCATTTTTCTCTCCTTTCCCCGGGGAGCGGGGGGTAAGAAAAAAGGGGACTCCTGCACACACCACACCATCGGACGGTGGAGGGGTGGATGGGAGGAGGGCCACGCTGTGCAGTCCGTCCCTTTCCCTCCTCCTCCGCCCCTCCACGTGCGTACACCCACGCGGCCGGAAGGCACTCATCGGTGGCGTGTTGGTTGCCGGAGCGATGACGCAGACGCACACAGTTACACTGACAGAGATGTAGACGGTAGAAAGAAGTGAGTACACACCGAAAGGGTGAAGAACGCAAATATAAAAGGACTAACCACCTTTACACCTTTGAACAAGAGACGCACAGAATATTCCCTTGCCAGGCGTTTAGACTTTTTTTTTCTGTTATTTCCTTTCTTCTTTCTTGCCTTCCTTCACTCCCTGCGCTTCCTTCCCAGTGTCAAGCACAGGACAGCTAGTTGCCTGCAGAGCCTACAGCCTTCCCCCATTTCGCAGCAGCAGCAGCAGCAGAAGCGACAATACACACAATCCTCACGGTATCCATCGTCAGTGGGTATCTCAATGCTACATTGCCTTCAGGCCTCTTCCCATCTCTCGCTGTCTCGCTCGCTCCCTCTCCATCTATACCTCTTTCATCTTCTACCAGCAAGCAACTCCCTCACCGCATCTTCCCTCTTTGTATTGAATTATTTGTCTTCTCTCTTCGGTTGAACCTTTTTTTTTGTTTTGATGATGTTGTTATGTCTTTGTTCGGTTGTTTTGGAGCATTCCACCCCTCGCGCCGGCACACTCGCACCACACCATTTCCCCTTTCTTCCTACAACACCTGTTTCGTGGAGTCCTCACCACACGTTTTAGTTTTTTGGTGTATTTCCCGGTGTCTACGCACGGTGTTAGTCGACCTTGACGTTACTGTAAATAATCTTCACAAACACGAACGAGACGAGGAAACCAATGGCGCCGCTAAGCAGAGAGAGTGTGTACGCCGCCATCCCCATGTAGCCGAAGAATAGCACAGCGCTCATGATCCCCTTCAGTGTCGAGTAGCGGAAGTAGTAGAAGATGCTGTAGGCAAATATCCACACACCGTATGAGCCCGATGTCAGGAACGATCGCCACCACCAATGGTAGTTCAGTCGGTTGAGTTGAATGTATGTCGAGAACACCGCAGTCTGCGCGGCGATGATCATCGACAGAATATAGACGGCCAAGAGAAAGCCGAACATGTAGTACACCGTCCCATGCCACACACTGCTAAAGATGTAAGTGATCTCCACGTGAGAGGCGGCGAACGGCACGATGCCCGGCAGAATTATCACTAGCGGAGAGTCGAGATACCACGGCGAGGGCGGGATGGTCCGCGGGATGTTATTCACCTTCACCGGCACCGCAAGGTTGATGTTGAAGCCCACCGCCGCACCAATCAGCACCAGCGGTGTCGAAATGCCCTGCCACAGCAGCAGGAGAAGCACGAGTGCCGAAACAGAGGCCGTACTGGCAGCATTATTTCCGAGATGAATGAAGTTGAGTACAATGTACGCTAGGAACATTTGGGCTGGGTAGAAGATGCTGGTAGCAAAGATAATCTTCCACGAGCGCATCTTAAAGTATCTGATCAGCATAGCCGTGACAAGTCCATTAAGGAAGCTGAAGAGCACAAAGAGGAAGATCAGTGTGGTGGCAAGCGCCCCGCGGCTCTGAGGAGAAATGAAGCCCATACACGCAACGCAGAGTGCGGAGCCTGCCATCATTGCCAGCTGAACGCCTGTGCCGACGCAGATGGAGAGCAACCCGACGCCGCGAGGCCGGCGGAACACGTCGCCGTGCACAAGCTTCCAGCCGGTCTCCTCCTTCTCCTCCTCCAAGTCCGCCTCATTGTAGTACGTTAGATCGCGGCGCAGCGCACGAATCAGTACGTACCATAGTGCCAGCGTCTGCAGGAGCGTGACTAAGAAGAAGTTGACGATACTGAACCAGTGGATCTGTGCCTCCTTGCCTGTCATCTTCATGAACACATCCCATCGCGTCGACCATGTCAACTCCGACTCTACCCACTGCACACTGTACGTGTATGTAATCTCATCGTCGGAGGCGAATTGGGGGTTGCCGGCGACCAGGTTGGTGGCGTTGCATACACCGCTGGGGTGCTGCACACTCTTGGCGGAGATCTGGAAGTGCACAATACGGTACGACTGCGCATCCATCTCAAACGGCACCTCCACCGGGTGGTATGAGATGGTGAATACGAGGTGGTTGTTCACAAACGGCACGCGCGAGGTGGGTGAAAGAGACGGCGACCCCAAACTAAACCCAGTTTTGATGCGGCGGTTGCCCTTGGAAAGAACAATGTTCTCTACGCCGGGCAAGTCATCAATGTACATGTTACCACGGTAACGACCGTCGATGAGTTTAATGAGGTACTTCTGATCGTTTTTCTTCATCTTTACGGTGCAGAGAACCGCACAGGCCTTGTTCTCCAGCACATTCACCTCATAGGGCGACTCCTCGAGCTGATCACCGAAGAGCAACTGGCCAATGTTGCGTCGCCGCTTCCGTTTCTTCTCCTCATGGACGCAGCGCTTGAGGGACCTCCACGGCATCGGCATCACCTTTGTCTTGGACGTGAGCGGGCTGACCATCACCGGCACCACGTCACCTCGCTGGTACGATGCGCCGATATTCTTGAGCAGAGAAAAAGGCCCCGCCTCCGCTGACGCTGCCATGAGCAGCATGACCAGCGCCAGCGTGAAAAGGGCCCTCCTGCTGGTGTACAGTGTCGTGGGTGGCATTCTCCCCTTTATGTATATAAATATATAGCCCTGAGAGCAGTTGTTGTGAGTCTGCGCACGATGCCCGCACGTGCGTCAGTGTTCGTATGTGTATAAACGACTGTGCGAGTGTGGCTGGTTTTCCGTTCTTTTGCAGCGCGCAAATAGCACTAAAAACAAACACAGAAGAGATGTGGAAAGAGTACACACGCACACAGAGAGGGAGTCCTGACAGCAGTGGGGGGCGCCAGCAGGCCCAGTAGGGTGCGAAGCACAAGAAGCGATGCAGGCTTCAAAACGCCAGTTGCGCATAAAAGGAATGGAAGCATAATGAGGGGGGAACGATCAGGTCACTAGGAAAAACATCATCGACCGCTCATTTTTTTGTTGTTATTCTCTGCTCGCTGCTGGCATTATTTTGCGCTTTTTTTTTTTTTTTGCGGCCCCCTTTATTGGTTTTCTGTTTGCTTTCATTTCTTTTTCCACGTGTAGCATTGCCGACTCCTCTGCAGTCTTGGCAGTTGCGTCAATGTCTGCGGGGGCGGGAAAACAACAGGGAGACGTACATGATGTGCAGGTGGGTGTGGGAGGCACACAGCATGCCAGCGCGCGCGCGAGAGAGAGAAAGAGAGAAACAAAGAGGAGGGGAAGAAGCACTACACATTGTTACCGGAATATGAGCGGGGGCGCGAGCATCCGCATGGGCAGATCGCAGTGCGTGTGGGAGAGTAATGGCCTTTGTATCGGTTAGCCTCTCCCTCCTTGTTTGGCTTTTATTCTTTTGGCTGCGTCAGGTCCCACACCGGCAGCCACGAAAACAGCACTCAAATCGTATACAGCACACAGGTATACATATATAATATATACATGTATATCTGTCGGTAGGCCCTCTTTCGGTTAAATTACGCGCTGCCACGGGCGGCGGGGAGGGGAGTATATACCCGGGCCGGGGCGAGGCGCAGAGAAGCGAAACATATATATATACAGACACAAATCACTGGCAGGAACAAAAAAAGGGAAAAAATAATAATAAGAGAAAAAAGAAAAATCCTTTGCTTTTTCTACATTTCACTGGGGTGCTCCTCACTTTTTTTTTTGGTTGTTTCTGTTTTTATCTACTGGCCTGATGATCTGCTCGTCGCGCTATCGTGCAGCGCCTCCGCAGAAAACAACGACACCTCCAGCGACTCCGTCTCGTCGAACGGCACGTCGCCGCACATGCACAGAGGGTGGCTGACCGCCCTCGCCGGCGCCACCAACGTTGGCAGCGTCGATATCAGTGTCGATGCCGGTGTGCTGGTTGTCCATATTGGCGTGTTCACGTCACTGCTGGTGCCGCTGCGGTACCGCGGGCCGTAGCTGCAGGGCGTCTGCGCCAAGAGTGACGCCGACGGGGTCGAAAGATCACTGAGGCGGCCGACGCGGCTCTCCTCCGCCGCCGCTATGCGGCTGTCGTCGACCACGAAGATGGAAGCCGACAGCGTGAGCGGCGGGGGCGCGGGGCCACCGGTTG